GTGTGTGCTATCAGGCAAGGATGAAAGTGATTTCACACAGTCACCTGCGGAAGCAAAACTGAGGCATAGTGTTATACATGGTGGCTAATGTATACTTATTCACTTGCCCATCATGTTGTCTGATAACACTGATTTCACCTGCCCATCATGTTGTCTGATAACACTGATTTCACCTGCCCATCATGTTGTCTGATAACACTGATTTCACCTGCCCATCATGTTGTCTGATAACACTGATTTCACCTGCCCATCATGTTGTCTGATAACACTGATTTCACCTGCCCATCATGTTGTCTGATAACACTGATTTCACCTGCCCATCATGTTGTCTGATAAGACTGATTTCACCTGCCCATTATGTTGTCTGATAACACTGATTTCACCTACCCATCATGTTGTCTGATAACACTGATTTCACCTGCTAAACCTATGCTAAACTGAGGCATAGTGTTATACATGGTGGCTAATGTATACTTATTCACTTGCCCATCATGTTGTCTGATAACACTGATTTCACCTGCCCATCATGTTGTCTGATAACACTGATTTCACCTGCCCATCATGTTGTCTGATAACACTGATTTCACCTACCCATCATGTTGTCTGATAACACTGATTTCACCTGCCCATCATGTTGTCTGATAACACTGATTTCACCTGCCCATCATGTTGTCTGATAACACTGATTTCACCTGCCCATCATGTTGTCTGATAACACTGATTTCACCTGCCCATCATGTTGTCTGATAACACTGATTTCACCTGCCCATCATGTTGTCTGATAACACTGATTTCACCTGCCCATCATGTTGTCTGATAACACTGATTTCACCTGCCCATCATGTTGTCTGATAACACTGATTTCACCTGCCCATCATGTTGTCTGATAACACTGATTTCACCTACCCATCATGTTGTTGTCTGATAACACTGATTTCACCTCCCCATCATGTTGTCTGATAACACTAATTTCACCTACCCATCATGTTGTTGTCTGATAACACTGATTTCACCTGCCCATCATGTTGTTGTCTGATAACACTGATTTCACCTGCCCATCATGTTGTCTGATAACACTGATTTCACCTGCCCATCATGTTGTCTGATAACACTGATTTCACCTGCCCATCATGTTGTCTGATAACACTGATTTCACCTGCCCATCATGTTGTCTGATAACACTGATTTCACCTGCCCATCATGTTGTCTGATAACACTGATTTCACCTGCCCATCATGTTGTCTGATAACACTGATTTCACCTGCCCATCATGTTGTCTGATAACACTGATTTCACCTGCCCATCATGTTGTCTGATAACACTGATTTCACCTGCCCATCATGTTGTCTGATAACACTGATTTCACCTGCCCATCATGTTGTCTGATAACACTGATTTCACCTACCCATCATGTTGTTGTCTGATAACACTGATTTCACCTCCCCATCATGTTGTCTGATAACACTAATTTCACCTACCCATCATGTTGTTGTCTGATAACACTGATTTCACCTGCCCATCATGTTGTTGTCTGATAACACTGATTTCACCTGCCCATCATGTTGTCTGATAACACTGATTTCACCTGCCCATCATGTTGTCTGATAACACTGATTTCACCTGCCCATCATGTTGTCTGATAACACTGATTTCACCTACCCATCATGTTGTCTGATAACAACACTGATTTCACCTGCCCATCATGTTGTCTGATAACACTGATTTCACCTGCCCATGATGTTGTCTGATAACACTGATTTCACCTGCCCATCATGTTGTCTGATAACAACACTGATTTCACCTACCCATCATGTTGTCTGATAACACTGATTTCACCTGCCCATCATGTTGTCTGATAACACTGATTTCACCTGCCCATCATGTTGTCTGATAACACTGATTTCACCTGCCCATCATGTTGTCTGATAACACTGATTTCACCTACCCATCATGTTGTCTGATAACACTGATTTCACCTGCCCATCATGTTGACTGATAACACTGATTTCACCTACCCATCATGTTGTCTGATAACAACACTGATTTCACCTGCCCATCATGTTGTCTGATAACACTGATTTCACCTACCCATCATGTTGTCTGATAACAACACTGATTTCACCTACCCATCATGTTGTCTGATAACAACACTGATTTCACCTGCCCATCATGTTGTCTGATAACACTGATTTCATCTACCCATCATGTTGTCTGATAACACTGATTTCACCTCCCCATCATGTTGTCTGATAACACTGATTTCACCTGCCCATCATGTTGTCTGATAACACTGATTTCACCTACCCATCATGTTGTCTGATAACAACACTGATTTCACCTGCCCATCATGTTGTCTGATAACACTGATTTCACCTGCCCATCATGTTGTCTGATAACACTGATTTCACCTGCCCATCATGTTGTCTGATAACACTGATTTCACCTGCCCATCATGTTGTCTGATAACACTGATTTCACCTACCCATCATGTTTTCTGATAACAACACTGATTTCACCTGCCCATCATGTTGTCTGATAACACTGATTTCACCTGCCCATCATGTTGTCTGATAACACTGATTTCACCTACCCATCATGTTGTCTGATACCTCTTGATTTCACCTGCCCATCATGTTGTTGTCTGATAACACTGATTTCACCTGCCCATCATGTTGTCTGATAACAACACTAATTTCACCTGCCCATCGTTGTTGTTGGAGGACTCTACTTTGGCCATACATTTCTCATCCCGTGACAGACAACATTCCCTGTACTACATTTGGTGTAATGACATCATGAGCTCACCATCAGACCAATATTTGTCTCCATCTGGACAATGCAGTCATAAGACTAGCCTGTGTTTTCCATTTCTACTCAGAACAATGTTCCATATTTACAATAAGCCACCCAGGCCAACTGTAAACGACAGCCTATCTTTTGTTCCATTAATAACCACCACCACTACCACTCTCCTCTCTTCTCTCTTCTGCATGCCCAACCTATCTCCACCGCTTACCATAGTTATGGAGCCTCACAAAGAACAGTGAAGACAGAGAACAGGGGCAGAATTCAAAGAAATTCTTGATGATGGTGATAAACTCTAACTGACAGTCCTGCGAATGCAGTGTGCTTTCTTCCCTTGTAACAGCTTGTTTTCTTAGCCCCAACCATGATTCCTCCTTCTTATCTGGCATTCTTGTCACTGGTACCACCACACCACCTCGCCCATTACTGAAGCCTTTTTACTTATATCTGTCATTCCGTCGCCACCATATCACAACCTCACCAAATTACTCTTTCAATATTGGCTAGTTATGCCTGCTCAATCCAACTTGAAAGCTAATTTGGCTTGTTTAAGGTAGATTAAAATCTCACATAAAATTTTCCAATGACTTTCAGCTGTTTTTATTCCCAGGTTTTAGGCGTAGATGTGTTACCCTATTTTTTAAGTGACCTCTCAGAGGTCTTGCTTGATAGCTCTTGCCCATTTTTCATCCTTAAAAATAACGCCCAAAATGCATCTGATTACCATTTATATGTTCAGTCTCAATAAACTTCATCTTATTGAAAACTACAATTATGTGATCCTTTAATTATAACCTCATTTGTTCCTATGAGATGTACGAGCAGTGTGGAGGATTACACAATTTATCTGATTATGTATTCTATATTGTAAGAACTGGAGGATTTTGATTTTTACAATTATCCTGAATGATATGCAATATTTCAGACATATTGTGTTATACGGTGACCCTATTTTGAAGCCTCCTGCTTGGGAAATGGCCTGCAGTATCTCCCCGGCCCTTGCCCTGACAATAGACTGTTATAAAACACGAGGTGCCGTTCCTTTACACAACTTGTATTACAAAAGCAAATGTGCAACACTCAGAAAAAGCCCTCCAGACAACCAACTCAAAACAAAGTGGATTCCAAATAAACGCTTATTCCTCCATTTCACTGAGAAAATAAATGTGCAGCCAATGCTCTATGCTTAGAAATATTGCCATCTGTTGTGGTGGCCCGAGAGAGACATTGTAACAGGGTTGGAATCAAGTCTTTAAACATTTAAAAGTCACACTTGATTGAAAAGAATCTGAATTAGCATTTTCTCTAAGCATGGAGCTTTTCTATAAGTTCCACTTTAATATTTACTTCCCTGTCGCACATTTCTGTTTTTTTATGCATGCAATTAGTCATTATCAGATCATTTTATCTCAAGATATAATCTGAAGATACATGTGTTTGTAGATAGAAATCTTATATCTGTTTTTGAGCGTATGGAGTTTAGAAACTGAAAGGTCAGCTTGAGTATATTTTTATACCATCATTTTGATGTAGTACATGCATATGACAAGCTTGTTTAGGGAAACATTTTATATCTGGGGAAACGAAATCTGAGATTTTTCTGAAAATATTCATTAAAAGCAAAAAGAATTCGCCGGAAAAGTTTTTGATCCTTTTTAATGAAATGAAGAATGACCATATAAAGCAGGGATTCTTAGTGGCAATGTTAGTGTCTCAAACAAAACCTCCAGTCATTTTTGAAGTAAAACAATCATTGCCTACTGAAACTACCAAATACAGACCTTAGTTCAATCATCAGTGAAGAGGCTACTGAAACTACCAAATACAGACCTTAGTTCAATCATCAGTGAAGAGGCTACTGAAATTATATGGTTTGTCTGCACCAACATTTCATTGGTATTACTCTCACTGAATTCCTGGGGATGGATCAGCCAAACCTTGCATGATCAGAGGTACAAAACACATTCCAAGAACCACCAATGCGTTATCCACACTCTGCGCTACAATTGTGCCTGCCTGTAGGACAAGGGAAGAGCACTGGGGACAATATTTTACTTGGAATCCATATGAAATGTACAAGCTATTCACCAGGCCTGTGTTACTACTATCTGGTGATGTTAAGATGTTCACTGTTAGCTAGATATCTCCTGAGAGTGGATTTACCTTAGACTTATCATGATGTTATTCTACTTCAGGGGAAGGTAGAGGCAGAGCTGCATCTGCTGTCTGTAGAGGAGGCAGAGAAACACCCAGCAGGACTTGGGCGGAATGAGCCGGACCCACTCGAAAAACCAAAGTAAGATGATATAGATTCTAATGTTATATCCTTCTTGATGATTTCTTGATACCTGACACTCCACCCTACTCTTTCCTTCTTCCTGAAAACACCCCGACACTATATATTCTCCTCTGTAGAAATGACGTCCTGCCTACCCTTCTTCCTGGAGATCTGAGACCCTTACCCTACCCTTCTTCCTTTGAGATGTACCCTACCCTACCCTACCCTACCTTACCCTACCCTACCCTACCCTTCTTCCTTGAGATGTACCCACACCCTACCCTACCCTATCCTACCCTTCTTCCTAGAGACGTGAGACCCCACACCCTACCCTTCTTCCTAGAGATGTACCCTCACCCTAGCCTACCCTTCTTCCTGGAGACCTACCCACACCCTACCCTACCTGTCTTCCTGAAAGCATGACATCCAAGCCCTATACTCTCCTGTATAGAAAGGACATCCTGCCTACCCTTCTTCCTGGAGACCTGATACCCTGCCATGCATTTCCTTAAGAGGACCCGATACCCTGCCATGCGTTTCCTTAAGAAGACCTGATACCCTGCCATGCATTTCCTTAAGAAGACCCGATACCCTGCCATGCATTTCCTTAAGAAGACCTGATACCCTGCCATGCATTTCCTTAAGAAAACCTGATACCCTGCCATGCATTTCCTTAAGAAGACCCGATACCCTGCCATGCATTTCCTTAAGAAGACCTGATACCCTGCCATGCATTTCCTTAAGAAGACCCGATACCCTGCCATGCATTTCCTTAAGAAGACCTAATACCCTGCCATGCATTTCCTTAAGAAGACCCAATACCCTGCCATGCATTTCTTCAAGAAAACTTGACACCTCCAGATAAATTTTAGAAAAACACATATATTTAAAGAAATATGTGGTCAAGTGGTCAATAGTGGTTTAATAATCATTATATAAATTATTTCGCTGCTTTGTTTTAATTTGGGATGAAAGTCAATGGGTTCTTATCACAACCCTCATGTTAACAACTGAATATTTAGAGAGGCTTTGTAGCTAGAAACCTCAAGGACCCCAAACACTAGCATTCTGACAAGTTTTCATTCCTCCCTGATTCTAACACTACACATTATGTTTCCTTAGTTTAGCAGAAATAATTTAATATGAAATATAGATGGAATTTAAGTTTACAAAATGTCCATATTTGTAATATTTGTAGAAAAAGTCATCTAAAAATTACCACCAATACTGTACTAAAATACAGGTTTTTTTGTCCATGACCTAATTATTTTGTATTTTACTTAAACTTTTTGTGCCCTTGAGTGTTTTTTTCCTCTGCTAAGAAAGATAGTGCAGTGAAATTTGAGAAAGTTTAAGCTGATATAAGCTAATTTAACTAAAAGTTTGTTTGACATATCTGTGACAGCATTGTGTTCAGACAGATAGGAACACAATCAATCACTTAACCTGCATCACAAATCACAGGTGTAACAAATGAGGTTATAGTTTGTTTGAAATCTTTTCTCAAGTTTTTTTTTTGTCGAGTCAGTAGGTAATGTGGACAGATGTGGTCTCGCTTGTCTGAGAGCAGGAGTGTTTTTGTCTTGTACCTAGTTCACTTATGTTACCTTGAATAACCATTCACAGAAGTTGTTTTCATTAAGGAAAGTGGGGAAGCCGTCTTGTGACAAGATTTGACAAATCATTTTCAGTTGGATGGGTGGGACAGACTTCATAATAGGGCCTAAAAACACAGATTTTACAGGAAATTGCAATCTTGATTAATGAGGCAAAGGTGAAAGGTCGGGGTTGGAGGAAATCCCTAGATCACAATCATCGCAGCAATTCTATTATTCCGCATTGGCAGGATTAGCGTCAGAGAGAGAGAGGACAGGAGACTGCATTATGGGATCAACTAATCCTGCGTATCCATCATTGGTCACGATAAATACAATTGTTTTATTCCGTTTTATTTGTTTACAATGGAAACCATGGTAACTTTAACAAGGGTGGATTTGATAATGGAGAGATTATCATTTAGTTGTGAGTAGGAGGAGTCCAGGGAGGTATACTATATGGCATGTAGGTCTGGACCCAAGGCCGCTTTTATCTTATCTTACGTCTCCTTCATCATTGCCTTTAACTTACAAAAAGAACCAAAACCTCTCTCTTTTCTTTTACCTCACACAAGCCTTTTCACAATTTTGGCCAATAATGCTGGGTGTTTTGTGGGGACACAGGGAGGATTATTGAGATGAGTGATGGGTTTTCACATGAATCGCTAGGATTAGCTGAACAGTGCAATCTGTACCTGATCTCTGACTTGCTGTGACATACACAGCATGTACAGTAGTAACCAGGGAAGTGTTGAACTTAGTCCACACTTACCAGGGCAAGAGGACATGCTGGCTGGTTGTTGAAACCATAAATATATATAATGTATCACTTGAATGTAATTGAAGTATTAGTATATGAATTGACTGCTTAATTCACCTAAGGCATTTGATGTGGGTTTCTCAGGCATAACTTTTCATGGAGATGTCTAGACACTTAATGACTATGACTATTTTCACTACAATTGTTTTTGCGAGTTTTCCTTATCAAATGAGAAAAAGTGGATCTGAATATACATCTTGTTTAGCATACAAGATGTGCTTCATTTGGCTTCAGTAGAGGATATTTAAGTATCAGAAAATAGTGGCTACCCAAATAGGCAGTAAAACTATATTTGTACTGCATCTCCTGAGTTGTTTGTTTTACTTAGTGATTTCCACAACATAGTTCCAACATTTTCATTCCCCTTTCTGTGGCTTGATTGAGACAATTCAAGTTTTTAAAGAGTGCAAAAACACTTAAAGACACATAATGATGCGAGGAATGATAGAACGGCTATGATTTAGGAGGCCTGTGGGGTAATGAAATGCATGTCACAAGCAAAAACACATGTTGAGAACATTCTCCTCACCTGTGTAAACATTCTCTGGAGGAAGATAAAACTCCCCGAGGATAAGGCTCCAATCATATTTCAATATCACTGGTAGATAAAGATTTTGAGCAAAATAATATTACCATATTATACATTTGAACCTTTTAACTATGTCATCTATTTAAATTCTTTGTTGCTGTAGTAAATTGTTTTATTTTCATTGCCATGTATTTAATGTTTGAAAAAAGATCACTTTCACAGTCCTTTCAAAACATTTATTATTTACACTTTTGGTTCATACTGTTTGGAAAATATGTCTTGTATGTACAAATGTGTTTCTGTTTCTTGACATATGTCATATAAGTGATGTTTAATACATGAATACTTATATAAATGCCATTGACTGTCATCTCTTTTCATATGTAAACATCCTGATGGCCATGCTCTGAAATGACATTATTAGTTATATTAAATGCAAATATGTTTTAACCATGAGTGACCATGAGTGATAAAATAATAATTTGCCCAAATGTTTTTTTATCATTTCTATATCATTGTTGTCATTATAAGCATTACTGGGCATTGTTGCTGTGCCCAAGCACTTTGATGATGTGTGTTACATCCCACTGCCCAATACATACGTTATACAGAGCTGTTTCCAATTGCAATCCAACTGTTTAACAGTAATGCTATGTGACCATCAAGTGCCCCAAGAAGCTGTAGATGTCAGCAAGTTTCTCCACACTGATGATGAAATCCTCTGTAGAGAATACCAGGAATTGTTGGAATCATTCCCAGCTGATTTTCAATGTAACTTTAAATGTTAGATTTAAAGTATCAATCCAAATTTCAATATGGTTAATCAAGAATTGACTTCACAATATTTTGTGTGATTATGGGGTATTAATTATAAGTAAATAATATATATAATATAATAAAACAGCAATAATGACTTCACAGACTGCTTATTTATTCATTAACACACATAAGATAATATAGACAACAAACGAAATAAGTGACATCGTTCAGCGCAATAATGCAACAAAAGATTCACCCATTCTATTATCAGCCAATCAGGAAGCAGTAGTCCATTAGTGGGCATGGCCTTATCTTTTTATATTATTGAAACACTAATGCCAAAACCTTTTGCATGGTTAACAAATCAAATTCCACGGAATCGCTTGAAATCTAGTTATTGTATGTTAATAAATACATATGTTGATAAATTGCCTGAGGTGAATTTTGTAGAAATTTACATTTGAATGTAAAATATGTTTCTTCCTTCAGCCGACCTGACTCATCGTTTATCTGGTTCCTCAATCCACTCAAGTCCATCCGCTACATTTTGTGGCACAACTACAAGTGGGTCATCTTGAAGGTGTTCATCGTTCTCCTTCTGTCTGCCATACTGGTCCTCTTCTTCTACTCCATGCCTGGTTACACAGTCAAGAAAATGTTTGGAGCTTGATAACTGGTCACTTACCAGCAATCAGTTGATTGGCTGAAGGCTACTGCAGTCTAGAAGATTTCTGGTAGCCTTTAGTCAATCAATTCAATACTGGATTGTGGCTGGATGACTGAAAGGTGCCATTGACCTTTCATTGGATGGATCTCAGGCATTTGAACTTAATCTGGACCAATTAAATCAGTGAGCAATGTATGAGAGTGGTTGATTTGAAGAGAAAGCTGTCTGTGATTGGTTGAATACAACTGTGATTGTAAGCTTGCTATAGCATTTTCAACCAGTGCATCTGTGTATGCTTTGGCAATTTTACCACAATCAGCATGGTATCAGTTAATGGCAGATGCTTTGGAACTGATTGGTTGAAATAATGAAAACTGGCATCTGATTGGCTGCATTGGTGCATAAAGTGTTGTCATGACAATAAGAATGATGTTTCTGAATAGGTGGAACTGTTTACATGTAGCAGTTGTGAGTTTGGTTCACATCACATGATCTACACAGTTTTATTCTATTTCCAAAAGCAGTGACTCACAAGTAGGTTGTAGATACCTTGGACCCTTAGTTCCAGCCAACATCAGAAATATCACAGCAGTAGAACACACAATGGTCACTTGGATTCCTGTCAGTTGTAATTGTTCAAATGTATTAAACACGGAGGGATTTTTTTAACCTAAGTACAGAGATGCTGTTCTGAAGATGTAGTAATTTTCTGAGATGTGAACTTACCTTGTGAGAGGTCCTTGGTTACAGCAGCATCACTGCTCACCCACATCATCTATACAATGTTGGGAACACCACCCAAGTCTGTGCAATAACATCTTAATATTGTTGTTGTCTGTCTTCTTGCCACCTATATCTTCTGTGAAGTGCATGACAAAATGTCATATCATGTATAAAGATTAACAGCTGTGTACAGTTTGCAGGAGTTCAGATTGTTTAGTTGTCACACTCAATCAAGGATTAGAGAATGTACTTTATTGACCATTTGTGCCAAAAGTGTTCCTGATCTTATGCCTTGTAAGGAATGTATCAGTACTGAATCAGAACCAAGACAGTCTCAGTATTTCACTTAAATGTATTGTTAAATTAATTTACACATTCAAACTGTTTCAATCAAAATATGTAATTCAATATGTTCTTGGATAGGTTAAGTCTTTGATCATTGTACTAATTTACACTATGATAACACTTCACCAGTACCTTACATCACATCAATTTTAGATGTCATAAAACACAGAATTTATTTTTTAAATATCCTCGAGTGAATAAGAATACGTTACTTGAAATAGTAAATTGGAAGCTGTTAATTTGTACTTGTTCCAAAACAAAATAAATATCATCCCATTAATGCAGTCATGTACCGGTACATCATTTATTTAAAAGCATTGTTGAGAAATGTATTTTCTTTTTTTTCCAAAATCATTGTACCCTTGATTGAGTGTGCGCAGATATCAAACCTGTTCACAGAGGATAAAGATTGTTTGACTTATATAGATCCACATAGTTTAGACATTGCACAGAGGAACTTTTCAAAGCATTCCTACTCTATATTGTATAAATGTACAAAGCATGTAGTCAGGTAGTTTTTTGTCCCCATTCTCAATGTCTGCATGGAAGTACAACCCCTTACAGTGTTCATACTGATGACACATAATGTCCATGGGACTTGTTGATCTGAGTGATCCAGACTTGGTTATGTTATACTCTTCATGTAAAAATATGATTCCATGTCTACCTGTTTCCTCAATGTTTATGTACATTAATATAATTGCTCTGATATATTTCTAAGGCCACAATGTTTTGCCAAAGATAGTTTCTTTGTATAGGATTGGAAACTGAGTACAGTCTACTCTCGATAAGTAGGTTCCACATTATTAGAAAATCTGGACGACTAGAAACTTTATATATGGGGCATGGATGGCCCTGTTGTACACTGGAAGACACTGGAATTTGCTGTGAAGAGTTGCATCCCTTAGGTGTACCAGAATCCTATCGTGGGTTAGAAACCCGGATTCATCCTGATTATGTTTCTAGGTTTGTCACCACCATACCCATGGGTTTTACTATTGAGGTAAATGTCTAAGACCTACATCACTTAGGACGTTCCATTCAGAGGACATACCTGAATATAAGTAAACTACTGTTCAAGCTGTGTTAAGCCCCACCCATTGACTCACACACACATCACATGTATTTATCTATAGATAGATGTTCTGGAACACTGACTCACTATCCATAGAAAATTTGATCGTTTAACTCGACTGGAAAATATTGAAGAACAGTGCAGTGACTGATAGCTACTGACTGCACCTGGATCACCACACACGTTACACTCCCTTGTTGTCACTTATTGCTCATTGCTGTAAGCAGTATGTATTTATATAATGAATTAATTGTTATCAGAATGTGCAATTGTTAAGCATAAATTCCCTTTGTTTATTTTATCAACAGGTCTAATAATATGATAGGTTGTTGTAGATAAAAAAAACCTGTTGGAATCACTAGGGTGGGACAAGCAATATTCCAGATCAGTAGATACTTTGGGTCGGCCCCACTTAAGGAGAATCGACTGTACAAGTAAATGTAATGTTTTAAGTTTCATCTTTTCTTAAATTTGACATCAAGACCTAGGACATAATTCTATTTTACCAAGACTTTCCAATTCCCTGTAGAGGCTTCAGGTAGACTTTCAGGTGTACGTAAGTAGGCCATACATTCAAGTGCTTCTGTGATGCAAACACTCTAGTTTGGCTAATTGTACTTATTGAGGCACACTGCAATGCATGATGAAAGACAACAGCTGCTTAATTCAGGACATTTTATTTAAGCTGCTACACATCGATAGTCCTTGCTTACTAGTTGCTGTGAAGTTGCAACACATCATGAAGCTAGAATGGTCACTGCAGTTAAACAACATATATCTTACAATCAATGTTCCAAATAAGCACCTGCCAATAGTTTCAAATTTGTATGGTCCTTATGGCCTACAGTAAATTTAAGTGTTGATTTATCTGTATAAGCTTTAGGGTTTTTTAAATGGGTACCCAAAGAGTTTAGTCCTGCAGCTTCTTAAGTCTATGGGTCCTGATGGCAGCCTGGCAAACTGTTTTTGTTTCAAACACTGCTTACAATGTATATTTTTTTCCTTACACTTGCAAATATCAAACTTTAAAGCTTAGATGTCCATGAAACTTCTTGTCATATGTTATGGAAATATTTTTGACATTTCCAGAAAGATGTATTATTTTGAGTATATACAACCAGGTATGAGCATCTTGAGACCATCTTGCATTCATATGTGACCTGTTTCATTTAAGGGTGAATACATTCCAGGAAATGTTTACGAAGAGCAACAGTATGATAAATCTAACAACATAGATGAATTAGTACTTCTATAGTAAACTGGTGTAATGTTTCCTTTTTGAGGAGTAAAACACTATTCCTAGAACATGCCAGTTACTTCAACCATGGCATGGCAGAAATTAGAAGATGCAATTTTAATACCATTCTGAAAAAATGTTTTGCAACAAGAACATACGTAAAATACTGTCTGAAATGCTAAAAAAAATATTTTTGTCTGTTAAAAAATGGTTTCACAGATTTTCACATATTGAGTAAGTCCAATGAGGGAAAGAGACTATAGAAATATGCACATATTCTCTGACTCTGTTATAATCATCATAATGTTGTCTGTGCAAATACATGGGCCAGTGTGAGTTCATTAGCGGGGGACAGGTGTTAGGTAATTAATTACCTCAGGCTATAGGCCCTTCATGCATGCATGACAACACACGAATATTTATTATCACTTTACCTATTCAAGTACCTATTTAGGCTATCACAGTGTCAGTTAGGAAAGACTAAATTAGGTGGATTTGCATTATTATGATATACCCCGGAGTATGCATAGGCCTATGATTGATATTTATTAAATGAAGCCAGAAAAGCATTTCTCTAGCATTTTCAACAGTCCTTTAGAACTTAGCACTGCTGATCGTTGTACAACAAGAACATGGCAGAAAATAAAAGATGCAATTTTTTTTTTTTTTACATATCGTTCTGGAAAATGTTGTGCAACAAGAACGTCAAAATTTTAATTTACTTGGACCTCTATTTTTGTCCTCTTTGTCTGTTGCTGTAATAATCTTCTCCAAAGTGTGTGGGGTTTTGTTTTTCTGTCACCTTATTTACTGTATTTCATGTCGTTGAGATGAATGTTTATATGCTCAACTGTGCCGGTCTCACTGTGCCGGTCTCACTGTGCTGGTCTCACTGTGTTGGTCTCACTGTGTCGGTCTCACTGTGCCGATCTCGGTCTCACTGTGCCGATCTCACTGTGCCGGTCTCACTGTGCCGATCTCACTGTGCCGGTCTCACTGTGCCGATCTCGGTCTCACTGTGCCGGTCTCACTGTGCCGATCTCACTGTGCCGGTCTCACTGTGCCGGTCTCACTGTGCCGATCTCAGTCTCACTGTGCCGGTCTCACTGTGTCGATCTCACTGTGCCGGTCTCACTGTGCCGATCTCACTGTGCCGGTCTCACTGTGCCGATCTCACTGTGCCGATCTCACTGTGCCGGTCTCACTGTGCCGGTCTCACTGTGCCGATCTCACTGTGCCGGTCTCACTGTGCCGATCTCACTGTGCCGGTCTCACTGTGCCGATCTCACTGTGCCGGTCTCACTGTGCCGGTCTCACTGTGCTGGTCTCAATGTGCCAATACCTTTGCTGTGATAGTGTTTGGCTCACATTAGGATAACATGGCTCCATGTGTTGACAGCTTGTTGCCCGAAACACATACAGAGCTGCAATGACTATATTTCTGTTTTTAATGGTAGATCAACCCACATGTGATGGATTTTCTAATGTCTTATGGGTTTGAGATAAATTACTACACACTTTTAGTTCTTTTCAAATTATTAGAAGTATGATTATAGTAAGCAACAAACCTTGTTGGTATTAATTTCCTGATCAAAATACAGATACCAAACTAAAACTATTTCTATTTCACATGCCAACAGTCAGTTTCATTTACTGGTCATTTTATAAAATCTGTGTCACACAAATCTGAAAATATTGTTTTGTGATAATTGGCTTTACCCAAAATGTGAAACAATATATTTAATGGACAAGTTGTTGCCCCATTTCATGGAACAGGTCACATTTATTAAATGCATGTTTTTAATAATTTTATGTAATGCTTCTGTAAGATGCTCTTACCACTCCTAGACAAGCTACATTCACTTTGAAGGATGTTTATATACATACTATGTGTAGATATGTAGAAATGATGCAACTGCCAGATTACTCTGACTACATTGTTACCTGACCTGTTGAGTTTGAGTCCTATTACTTGTTAACACTTTTATCATTTGAATTTCTTATTGAGCATATTCAGTCTAGAAACATCAACTTTCTTTCTCGTTGTCATTGATGGGATTATAAAAGTTAATTTTCACAATATCAATGAATGCTATGTGTGTAGAGTAAGAGTGGTGAGATTGCAAGTACCTTTTACACAGTTTAAACAGATATTCAACCAAAGTAGAACTGGTATTTACACATCCTAAATAGAACATCTGTATGAGGTTATGTTTATTGTGAGAAATTGAAAAACAACCCAAGGTGCACCACAGACTTTTGGGGACACAAACGCCTATGGGTTTTGTTATAGCTGCTTCCAGGGTTGTCATGAAGTGGGCCGTACCAGATTCTGCACTGTGACAATGCAGTAAAATCAATGTAACACAGTTCAGAAGGACATAGAGGTGATCTGATTTCAGAACAGATCCACACAAGACCATTAGTTTCCAGGAAGAGAAAAGGGAGGTTTTCTAGACTGAATGTGGAATTATCATGATGTTTTAAATATGTATCACCCTGAAGTATGAATTTATGAGACATTTAACTAATTGTTGTTTTCCTAGCATTCACAATCATGTGATACAGACAATATCTCCTTGTTTGTTTGTACATTTCTCTTACATAAAACAGTAGAGGATGTCAATCAAACTGGGATATTTTTCAGCTGTAGACTACTGGCAGACACATATGGATGGACATCAGCATGCATCAATATGACACAGTGCTTCAGTTAGGAATGCATGGATGGGAGTCATGCGGCTCATATACAATGAATGTACAGTTAACTTAAGGCATTTAGCAGGCTGTTCTTCTTGGGGGGAAAACACACAGATTCATGAAAGACAGACTGAGCAAGGTGTTATATCAATAGTGTAGAAATGTAGTGTAAGAAATGAACACTGACTGTAAGGCATTAACCCCTATTGAAGGGGTTGGAACTAAATATAAGGGCATCAACAGAGAGTCTCAGACATTAACACTAACTGGAAAGCATGAACCCTGCTAAAGGCATCTACACTGACTGTAAGGCATCTACACTGACTGAAAGGCATCATCAGACAGATTGTAAGGCATCTACTGTGACTGTAGAACACATCTGCACTGACTAAATATATACAGAATTAAACAGGGTTGTGGACATGATTTCCATCCAAATATCCCAATGTAGCCCATTTCTCCATGCCATGCTCACATTTCTTGTTTCTCTATTATTCCTAGCCCCTTCATCTTGTTATGCTGTTGTTGTGTAGGAATTGTTATTCTGTTAAGCATTACACTTACTAGCTGTTCTTACCATTCAGTTGATCAATATTTGTCAAATAAAACAATTGATTGTGTTCTGTTTGATATTTTACTTCATTTGCTAACACCATAACATTTCTTAGACAGTGCTTTTTAATATGATTAATGCAGAACATAAGAAGATGTGTTCACAATTTGAGAGATTCAAAGTGTGCGTTTGAAAATGACCGGCAGCAGTTTATTATATTTGAACTCTGACATCAATGTTATTCCAATGTTAGGTTTGCTTTAAATTATCAAAGATGGCAATACAACAAATTCCCTTGCTAAGTTTGTTATACAGTTTAGCTATAGCTGCTGACTTTGTTTTACTGATATAGTGCAGCTGGTAGAACAGTTCTAGATGTGGAAGTTTCCCCTCGATAATATCTGAACTCCGCCTTAGTTTGTATTTATTTTAACCGGCTGGCCACAATAACAAGCTTATCTAGAGCCCATCTTGGCTAGTGGGGGCAAAATGGGAGGAGGCATGACAGGGAGGGGATATTTGGGCGGTAGAGGGGAAAAAAACCAGAAACCAGATCAGTCTGAATGACATGCACACAAAAAACTATTTTTTTATCATGCGATTAATATTTTTTACATTTTATTTGTACTCATGGATAGATGAAATGGTGTTTATGGTGATTGGCAGCCTTGAGTGGGAAACAAAATGTAAAAATGGCGTTAGCAGGCCACCTTTTTTTCAGCATTGAGTTGCAAGATCCTATACAACCACAAAAGAAGCCAAACTTGTACATATTATGCGGATAACTTTGAGACCATAAAAAAACATAAAAAGCATTTGGTAACAAATGCACATTGTTTGAGGACAACCATCCTTGTTTATTGAAAAAATCCCCCCCCCCCCCTGAAAACAGGGTACCCCCAAACAGAAAAATGACAAGTGTCAGTCATGTCCATCAATAGTGTGTGTGACCTCTGTTAGCTGCGATACAGGCAGCACATTGCCATCTCATTGAGTCAAAAGTCTTTGGAAGACAGATTGAGGAATCCTGTTCCATTCCCACACCGTAAAGGCTTCCAGTTCCTGAAGATGTCTCCTCCTGAGGAGCATTGTCCTGCTGAAAGACCTGGAGTTGAGGTTGAGGTCTGAGCTGATTATGAAGAACATCAATCATCCCTGTACAGAACAGCAGTCACACACTGACGGAACAGTGTAGAGGGGTCCTGTGATGATAATTAATGCCTCCACACCACTTGGCCTATAAGACACAGCAGTGAGCTTAACACTCATTACATCACTCCACACTCTGATGCAGCCATCGGCATGAGAAAGGTTGAACCTTGATTCGTCTGAGAAGACAACTTGTTGCCACTGTTGACATCGCCAATAGAGGTGCTGTTGGGACCACTGTAGACTTGTTGGCAGTGTCGTTGAGTCAGTATGGGCCTGACGTAAGGATGACGACATCTGATTCCCCCCGCTCTTAAACGACGACGAACTGTGTCAGCTGACACGTGATGACTTCCCTAGCCTGTATTCATCATATAACTGTGAGATATACACAAGGAAGCTGGTGCTAAACATGCTTCAACTCTTAGATTGTCTTCTGATGCGAATGTGTGACAAAGACTTCTGATTTTAAGGGTGGATCACTGCACTTTCACTACTAGGACACAACGTCATACCATCGGTAAAAACATGTGATGTGTGTCTTCACATAGGACATCATTCCATGATGACCACGTGGTTTTGAAGTAGTCAACCTATTCAACCAGTCAATTAGCTCTACAAGACAAACCCCCACATATGCTCTAGGACGAAAGGCGGATTTGCTTGGCATCTTATTTAACGCTTAGTCAAAGCTATCAATGCCACTGCATGATAGAAGTATGCTGAGGCAAGATGTGATAACGATCAACATCCAAAAGAGGATCTTCAAACCAATACTGTGACATCACTTGCTCGAGGCAGAGGTGAGCAGGTAAGGGTTTGGGACACCACCAAAATGGTCGCACCTTACAGCGACTTCATAGCGGAAGACTATTGTTTCTACAGATGAGTTTTTTGCCTCACCATTGAAGTACAATAATAAACAAAGGAGTGGCCTCGTAGTAGTAGCTAAAGCTAGAAGGAAGACTGTTTTAAGAGTGATCTGCTTGAAGTCTTTAGTTAGCAGAGGCTCGTATTCTGGGGATGTCAAGTGTCGAAGAATATCATTCAAATCCCATTTAGGTGGACGAAATCTGGATGACTGGTCTGCGAGTTTGTAGGAACTGAGACCTTGGAATTCGGCAACTACAGAGATCTTCACACCCGTTGTAGTAGCGTCGACCGAATTAAGTGCTGCTAGGTATGTGGATAATGTTAAGCCCTTAAGCTTCCTGGTATAATGAAGATGCTGAAGATATTCTGCAATTTGCCGTGGGGAAGCAGTAGTAGGAAAAGTGATAGCCCTGCCACAGCAGTATCCCTTGAAGGCTTTCCATATATGGTCGTACAAAGCTTTGGTCGAAGTACAGTGAGCCTCAGTAATGGTCTTCGCTACTCGCCTTGAGTACCCTTTTGCTGCTAATGACTTTTGGAGGTGAACCAGACGCTTAGATGTAGGGTGTCCAGCGATGGATGTCGAAGGCTAGAGTGAGGTTGAAAGAGAAGATCTCTTCGAAAAGGAAGCAGATGATGACTTCGCTTTGTGAGGTCTAACAACACAGTGAACCAACTGGTGCGAGCTGGCCAGTAAGGTGCAACCAAAATCAGATGTAGCTGAGTCATGACGACGACCTTCTGAATCACCTGTGGTAGAAGCGCTGTTGGTAGAAAGGTGTAAGCGTCGAGATTCTCCCAAGATATGGCCAGGGCGTCATACTCCCACGCCTCTTGATCTGGAATCCGAGAGACAAATCTGGGGACAATATCAGTGAGTAGGAGTTCTGAGACTGGGGCCTAAACACTCTGGAGCATGTTTGGATATCAACATACATAGTGTGTCGTGCACTGTCATCAACTGTTTGGCCGGATACACCCTCTGGAATGGAGTGGACATCGTTGGAGGTATGTTGTTGAGCGGCAGCCAGTACCCATCTCGGGGTTATCCAGGATGGTCCAGTTGGCTGCAAACTGACCGCCTACTGGTGTAAGAGTGACAGGTCAGAGGAGGTCTACTGATACTTGGACATGAGTCTCCTTTGTGACTTCCTGCTCAACCTCCTAAATCCTGTTATCGAATAGGTAGGGAGATGACCATGGCATTTAGAAGAGTCTCACTTTATGATGGGAGGAACTTTATGATGTTCCTCCCAAGGACAGTAGGTAAGTAGACTTCTCTGCCATAGAGTAGGAATTGATCCCAACTGATGTGTGGTCCATGACATCCTGGAATTTGCTTTGGATTAAATTTTCGGTCCTACTCATGTAGGTTTCCTATTAGCATGGGCCACGGACATCACATAGGCTGGTATCCATGAACCCCCCCCCCCCCCCCCCCGACATTCACAACATAATTTGTGTGGATCCACCAGTGAAAATATGTGGCGACACTTCCTGTAGGCCGAACGTTTCTGCTGATCCTTGCCCATAATGTTGCAAGTAGTACGCTGAACTCCTGTCAAATTTTGAGAAAACAAGCATGAAATACTCACATCCCCCACCAATATGACATGTCGGGTTGTGTGCAATGTAAATGGCCTAATTGCAGCACTAAAAAAAGTTATTACTGGTGTTGTTTTTCCATCTGCAGTTTATGATAGAATATGTAACTGAATTTGTAATGAGTAAGGATGAGACATATGGACGAACAACTTCTTTATTACAATTAGGAGCGATGGTTTCGGTGAAGGTTCTGACACCGTTATCAAGCAAGTGAAGTACAGAGTATGGTTGACAAGAATATATAGTGTTTATACAGTTGAGTAGGTTAAAGATCAATTACACTGTTGTATTTGTAATGAGTTGTAATGAGTTATCAAAAGGCACCACTTCACCACTAGATCTATCTATGTGCCAAGTTTGGTGAAGAAATATGGTACGGTTTTCAAGATCTCCGGAAACGAGGACTACCGCCATTTTCAGTCTAAATCAAAGTCATTGCCATGGAAACTCAAAAAATAAATTTGTTTAAAATCCCAAACTATCAAAAGGCACCAGTTCACCACTAGATCAATCTATGTGCCAAGTTTGGTGAAGAAATATGGTACGGTTTTCAAGATCTGCTCCGGAAACGAAATGTGACGGAAGGATGGAAGGACGGACGGACGGCACCCATTCCTATATCCCCCTTCCACTTCGTGGCGGGGGATAATAAAGGGGAAATATGCTCTCTAGAATATAGCACGTCTCCACATGAAGGTGAAGATAAAGAGAATGATGAGGCAGAGGGTGTCAGGTGATCAGATCATGTACATCAGGCTGCACAGGATTCAGGTGCATGACCTGATTGTTAGGGTGGTTGCCATGGGGATGCATGGGGTGTTTTTGTGAAGCTGGAAACTTTGTTTTAGGATGTTTCCACACAAGGATCGGAAGAAAAAGGATGAAATGCATAGGGTGAAATAGGATAAGTTTTAAAATTTGTTATAACCGTTGAATGTGGGTTGCATGAAATTGTGCCTTGATAATATGTGCATTGATGCCAAAATTGAAGATAAGATCAGTCAGGTCTTCCCTGGTGATCATCTATCTGTCCATTCTCAGCACCCTCTGTCACTACCAAACCCCCAAACATCCGGCAACATACAACTGGAAACTATTCAGCTTATCACTATTCGTAAGTGCAAACAGATCGCAAGTCGAGGTTGTGTGCAAAGTGTGAACTCAGATGGATGCAGATTGACAAGAAGTGATGGCAGGTCTAATAGGCAAGTGAGTGCTGTGGCATGATGGAAGAACACTGTGGTCTCCTCATAAAGTTGCACCTTCCTGAGCTCTCCTGCCTCTGAGGACATTGTTAAACATTTTCACAGTTAAAATTTCTTTGCTCTGGACCATTGTTTCTACACCATATAAGCTTCAGTTTCCATGCCAAGAGAATATTCTTCACCACTGATGGAAACAAACAAATTTGTTTGACAGCTGACATCAAAACAATAGTCA